CGTGGCGGGGGGGGTGGGTGATGACAGGTGCTCTCTGCAGAGTCTTCTGTCCTTGGTGGTTACATGGTAGAGCTCCCATTCCCTAGCCCTTTCCAGAGACATGCTGCTAGATAGAAAGTGGTAGTAATACCTCTGCTTCTTCCTCCCATTAGGTGTCACAACCCTAGGCACAGTGACAGGCACTGTCTCTACTAGCCTTGCAGGAGCTGGGGCCCATAGCACCAGTGCCTGGCTGGCCACACCTATCACCACCTTGGGCACCATTGCCACTCTCTCAAGCCAGGTGATCAATCCTACTGCCATCACAGTATCAGCTGCACAGACCACACTGACAGCTGCTGGTGGGCTCACTACACCCACAATCACAATGCAGGTAAGTAGGTTCCAAAGACGTACCACCATATAGCAGCACTGTCACATGTAGGGGGCATTTCGGCCTTTCTCCTCTATGCTGTTCTGCGACCCTTTGCATCTGTGACAGTTTTTCTACACGTGGTGTGATCTCTGTCTCAGTCTTTCCCAGTGGCATATCTTATTTGAGCTATGTCCAGTTTGCAGACAATAGGATCTCGTAATGTATTGTATGTGCATATAGTGTATTTGTCCTTTTGACATGTTTTTTTCTCTCAAACTGGACAAGAAGTGTGTAAGGAATCTATTGCTGGCATTTGTGCCAGCAAATAGGCCAACTCCCTTTCCTGCCCCAGCTCTGCCTCATACCCTGTCCATCTTAGTCTCTCAGTAAGTCACTGTTTTGAGATCATGGGGCAAGTGAATCTTAGATTTGCCTAAGCTAGTTAGCAGAATTGGTGGTCCCAGCCAGCATGTTAAGCATAAGATAGTAGGGGAGGCAAATGAGAAATCACATAATTCAGGCACTAATTCCTCTGTTCTACTGTGTCCCCCCAGCCTGTCTCCCAGCCTACCCAGGTGACTTTGATCACAGCACCCAGTGGGGTTGAGGCCCAGCCTGTACATGACCTTCCTGTATCCATTTTGGCCTCACCTACTACAGAGCAGCCCACGGCAACAGTCACCATCGCTGACTCGGGCCAGGGTGATGTACAACCTGGCACTGTGACACTGGACAGCTCCAACCCACCCTGTGAAACCCATGAAACAGGCACCACCAATACAGCTACTACCACTGTTGTGGCTAATCTTGGGGCACATCCTCAGCCTACCCAGGTGCAGTTTGTTTGTGACAGACAAGAGGCAGCTGCTTCTCTTGTGACCTCAGCTGTGGGACAACAGAATGGTAATGTGGTTCGTGTCTGTTCAAACCCCCCTTGTGAGACCCATGAGACAGGCACTACCAACACTGCCACAACAGCTACTTCCAACATGGCTGGGCAGCATGGCTGCTCAAACCCCCCCTGTGAGACTCACGAGACAGGCCCTCCCAGCACTGCCACTACAGCAATGTCCAGCATGGGCACTGGGCAGCAGCGAGACACTCGTCGTACCTCTAGCAATCCCACTGTAGTGCGGATCACTGTGGCTCCTGGGACACTGGAGAGAACCCAGGGTACTGTGAAGCCTCAGTGCCAAACACAGCAGACCAATATGACCAACACCACCATGACTGTGCAGGCTACAGGAGCTCCGTGCCCAGCTGGCCCACTGCTCAGGCCAAGTGTAGCACTGGAGGCTGGGAACCATAGCCCTGCCTTTGTACAGCTAGCTCTTCCAAGTGTTAGAGTAGGGCTGAGTGTCCCCAGCAGCAAGGACATGCCCACAGGGCACCAGCTGGAGACATACCATACTTATACAACCAATACCCCAACCACAGCCCTCTCCATTATGGGTGCCGGGGAGCTTGGTACAGCTCGGTTGATCCCTACATCTACTTACGAGAGCCTCCAGGCAAGCTCTCCCAGCAGCACCGTGACTATGACAGCTCTAGAGGCACTGCTGTGCCCTTCGGCTACCGTGACCCAAGTCTGCTCCAACCCACCATGTGAGACCCATGAAACGGGCACCACCAACACTGCCACTACCTCCAATGCAGGCAGTGCCCAGCGGGTATGCTCCAACCCGCCTTGTGAGACTCATGAGACGGGAACTACACACACAGCTACTACTGCCACATCAAATGGAGGTGCAGGCCAGCCTGAGGGTGGACAGCAGCCTGCCGGTGGCCGTCCCTGTGAGACACACCAGACCACTTCCACTGGTACCACTATGTCAGTCAGTGTGGGTGCCCTGCTTCCTGATGCCACTCCCTCTCATGGAACCTTGGAGTCTGGCTTAGAGGTGGTAGCAGTGTCCACTGTCACCTCCCAGGCTGGTACCACATTGCTGGCTTCTTTCCCAACACAGAGGGTATGCTCCAACCCTCCTTGTGAGACCCACGAGACAGGTACCACGCACACAGCCACCACTGTCACCTCTAACATGAGCTCAAACCAAGGTAAGTAAAAGTGTCCAGTATAGTAGGGTACAGATATTCTGGCTGTATTAACTATAGTGGAGGGGGCAGTTTCTAGGAAACCTGTGGTGGTAAAAGCAAGTAGAAATCAACTAGTCCCCCCCTTTGACACCCACAGACCCTCCACCAGCTGCCAGTGATCAGGGAGAGGTGGTGAGCACCCAAGGTGACATCGCAAACATCACTGGCGCCAGTGGCAGCACAACAACTGTGTCATCCACATTGCCACGAGCAGTGACCACTGTGACACAGTCTACACCAGTGCCAGGTCCCTCTGTTCCGGTAAGCTTCCCAGAAGGTCCCCTATGTGGCCTTTTGACCACTATGCCTTTTGTTTGTGCTGTTCCAGAGATGGACACCAGATGTCACCCTTGTACCAGACATGGTATTGCTCCTTGGTTCTTCCAGACCATAAAAGGGCAGTCTTGGTGCTTAGGAGGCAGACAGTTCCTTGGAGATGCCTGAGTACTTTATCTCTGCTGCTGGTTTCCATCTTAGCTGTTTTCCATCATTTGTCTCTACAGTGAAGCCTCTGAGCATGAGTTGAAACTTGACACCTTGCTCCTTGACCCTCCTTCCTCATCTACATTTAGCATGGGGTTAAAGGTGGCCAGCCTGAGCCGGGTGTTGGTGGCACACGCCTTTAATCCCAGTACTCGGGAGGTAGAGGCAGGTGGATCTCTGTGAGTTCAAGGCCAGCCTGGTCTACAGAGCAAGTGCCAGGGGAGGCTCCAAAAGCAACACAGAGAAACCCTGTCTCGAAAAAAAAAAAAAAAAAATGTGGCCAGCCTGTCATGGATGATACCATAGGCCTACAGGAAAAAACAAAGGCCATCTTGTTTTTTGTCCCTGCTGCTTAGTACTAGCCTCCGTCTCCTCCCCTCTCCCTCTGACGGGGGCTTCTCTCCCTTTCTAGAACATCTCATCACTGACTGAGACCCCAGGGGCTCTGACTTCCGAAGTCATAGCCAACACAGAAACTTCTGACATGCCCTTCTCTGCTGTTGACATCCTGCAGCCCCCAGAGGAACTCCAGGTCTCACCAGGGCCTCGCCAGCAGCTGCCACCACGGCAACTCCTGCAGTCTGCCTCCACCCCCCTGATGGGGGAGTCCTCCGAGGTCCTGTCAGCCTCCCAGACCCCTGAGCTCCAGGCCGCCGTGGATCTGAGCAGCACTGGGGACCCATCTTCAGGCCAGGAGCCTGCCAGCTCTGCTGTCGTGGCCACTGCAGTGGTCCAGCCACCCCCACCCACACAGTCTGAAGTAGATCAGTTATCACTTCCCCAAGAGCTGATGGCTGAGGCCCAGGCGGGTACCACCACCCTTATGGTAACAGGGCTCACCCCAGAGGAGCTGGCTGTGACTGCTGCTGCTGAAGCAGCTGCCCAAGCTGCGGCCACTGAAGAAGCTCAAGCCTTGGCCATCCAGGCTGTGCTCCAGGCTGCACAGCAGGCTGTCATGGGTAGGTATCAGCCGAGATCTTTGAGGGATAGGCCCTTTGGGATAATTGACAGCCTAATAGGAGGGCTAAGGCACTATGTGGGGACAACTTGAGATGAAGACCTGCTTCCTGTGAGAGTACATAGTGTATATCAAAGGAGGCCTAGAAAGAAGACATGGGACCCAGTGGTAAGGGTGTAATACAGTGAAAGCAAGATAAAAGCTAAGGAAAATGAAAGTCTCAGGAACACCATTGCTGTCCATTGGGCCAGGCACACTGGTATTCATTTTGAATGGTAGTTTTCTTGGTCCTGGAGCAGGCACTGGGGAGCCCATGGATACATCTGAAGCAGCAGCAGCAGTGACACAAGCAGAACTGGGTCACCTTTCAGCTGAGGGCCAAGAGGGTCAGGCCACCACCATACCCATTGTACTGACACAGCAGGAGCTTGCAGCTCTGGTGCAGCAGCAGCAGCAGCTCCAGGAGGTCCAAGCTCAAGCCCAGCAGCAGCACCACCTCCCTACTGAGGCTCTGGCCCCAGCCGACAGCCTCAATGACCCATCCATCGAGAGCAACTGCCTCAACGAGCTAGCTAGTGCTGTTCCTAGCACTGTAGCCTTGCTGCCCTCAACAGCCACTGAGAGTAAGCTGGGCTGCTTTTTGGCAGGGGTAAATTGTTGGTAGAGTTGAACTGGTGGGAGATAGACACTGTGGCAAGGGTGGTGTGGAGGTTGCAGGAGGTTCTGGCTCAACACAGAACCTCCCCACTGATACTTTTGTTTCTTCCCAGGCCTGACTCCAACTAACACATTCGTGGCTCCCCAGCCTGTTGTTGTAGCCAGCCCAGCAAAGATGCAGGCTGCAGCTACCCTAACTGAAGTGGCCAATGGCATCGAGTCCCTGGGTGTGGTGAGTTCAGTGCAGTGGGCCCCAAGGGATAGGAGCAACCCTGCCTTTGGGCCTCAAGAACTTGATGTCATCTCATTCCTGTTCTTCAGAAACCGGACTTGCCACTCCCACCCAGCAAAGCACCTGTGAAAAAGGAGAACCAGTGGTTTGATGTGGGGGTCATTAAGGGTACCAGTGTAATGGTAACACACTATTTTCTGCCACCAGATGATGCTGTTCAGTCAGACGTAAGTATACCCAGTAATTGGCACCCTTAGATGGTGGGGTGGATCCTACCCTGCCTGTGAGACAACTATCATATAAACAAACTTAGCTTTACTACTTTGCAAGGAGGCTCACGGGAGATTTCTACCTTTGTGCTACTTGAACAATTAGGAAATGGGAGGACAGCCAGGTAGAGACCTTCTCCCCCAGAGAGTAAGAAAGTAAAAACTTGGTTCTTTCCTAACAGCACAAAGTTAACCTCACCACATCCCTAGGGCCTTGCTAAAAGGGGGCAGCCATCACTCAATGGAGGTCTTGGTCCCATGATCCCCTAGGATGTTGGCCATTCTAGATAAGCACTCTAGCCCTGAATTGCCCCCTAGTTTTTAAGCATTCTTTTTTGACTGTAGGCCTTGTGCCATTTTCTTTCCTGGTTTTTCACCTCTTACCCTAGGATGACTCAGGCACAGTCCCAGACTATAACCAACTGAAGAAGCAGGAGCTACAGCCAGGCACTGCCTATAAATTTCGTGTTGCTGGAATCAATGCTTGTGGCCGGGGGCCCTTTAGTGAGATCTCAGCCTTTAAGACATGTCTACCTGGTTTCCCAGGGGCTCCTTGTGCCATTAAAATCAGCAAGGTGAGTCTTTCTATGGACTGCCTTTCTGTTCCCTATTGGTCTGCTGTCTCTACCCCCCTATTGGTCTGCTGTTTCTACCCTAAAGAGGTACATATGAACAGAGCCAGAGGGTGGCTGTACCAAGAGTGTACCAGATAAGGGCAAAGTAGCCACACTCACTCTTAGAAGACAGAGGTCATATGCCAGGCTCTTCACTGATAAATCTTTAGTCTAATCCTGAAAATCCCAGGGAGGTCTGGGTCCCATTAATTCTATTCTCAAATGCAGAAACTAAAGCACCAAGAAGCTAAGTGACAAGTTATGGATTAGGTGATGGGTTGAGGGTATTAAGGCTCTTTTTAAAGTCTTTTGAAATTTGATGTAGAATATCTGGGTTGTTTTGGTTAAATTTGTATGTATTACATTTTTTTATTTTGTGTGTGTGGGAGCATAGGTGTGCCACGGTGCTCATGTGAAGGTCAGAGGAGGTCATGTGGGTCGCGGAGATCGAACTCAGTCATCAGGCTTGGCAGCAGGCACCTTTACCACTGAGCCATCTCACCGACCCCTGGAATATCTATTGTGTTGTGGGAGGTTGTTTATGGGGGTATTAGCAATTCTAGAAACTTCTGGCCCTCTTTCTGTGGGCACAAACAGGGTGGGCTAAAGCCACAGTGGCTGAAGAAGACAAAGCTTGATTTTGTTTCCTGGGTTCTAGAGCCCAGATGGTGCTCACCTCACCTGGGAGCCACCGTCTGTGACCTCCGGCAAGATCATCGAGTACTCTGTGTACCTGGCCATCCAGAGCTCACAGGCTGGTGGTGAACCCAAGAGCTCTACCCCAGCCCAGCTAGCCTTCATGCGAGTGTACTGTGGGCCTAGCCCTTCCTGCCTCGTGCAGTCCTCCAGCCTCTCCAATGCCCACATTGACTACACCACCAAGCCTGCCATCATCTTCCGCATTGCTGCCCGAAATGAAAAGGGCTATGGCCCCGCTACACAAGTGAGGTGGTTGCAAGGTAAGTATTCATAAGCCTCTTGAGGCAATTTTTAGGAAAGGCACAGAGAGCCAAGATAACTAGCTAGATTAGGGAGGCTACAAATTGGGATAGACGGGTGTAAGGTGTTATAGAAGAGCCTCTTGAGCTCTGGGGGATGCAGAATATACCCTGGGGTATCTAAAAAGTGAGAAAGATTAGAGGGCTTGAAAGCAAAAGCTGTTAGGCCCAAGAACAGCATGACCCAAGGCCCTTAAAATGGGTATCATAGGCTGAGGCCCGCTTCTAAGAAGCATCTGTCTCAGGAGGGGCATTGGGGGCAGGAACTGGGCCAAAAGGATTTCTGACTCCTGTCCTGCAGAGAAAGATCAGGAACCTGAAGAATGACATGGGCAATCAGGACCATGACAAGTAGAGTACACCCAAGTATTCCCTGCCTTTTGCTGGGCTGCTCACTATCTATCCCATTCCTTTCAGAAACCAGTAAAGACAGCTCGGGCACCAAGCCAGCCAGCAAGCGGCCCATGTCGTCTCCAGAAATGTAAGCAGCCGGTATCTTTCAGGAATCTTCTTTAGGGGCTACTTAGAGTAGAAATAAGCTTCACCTCTCATCAAAGCTGCTTGGGACTATATTCACATAGGGTCCTGAGTCAGTATTTTTATGATGTTCTTGGGACCCTCTATAACTGTTTCTCCTTTCTTTGTTACATAAGGAAATCTGCTCCAAAGAAGTCTAAGGCTGATGGTCAGTGAGGAATCTGGCCAGCATCTGGATCCTCCAGATCCCTCTGCTTCAGGAACATTTTATCATTGCTGTTGGGAGGAAGCAGAAAGCAGATTGGAAAGAGCGGCAAGTAAGCAAATGAGCTCAAGTTGTGCTCCTTCCTTTTCCCCACCTGGTGCCCTCCCTGAGCAGAGAATGAAAAG